ATATTAATTCAGGAGATTTCAATATATTACAAAAATACCTGGATGTACGGTTCCCACCCGTACATCCGGGTGTACAATATAGGAACTCCATAATGTACATCTATATTCATGAGAATGCGGCATAGGATAAAAGCTTCTGTACATCAGGGTGATGAATGTCATTATGACAAATTCACAAACACTTAGTGACACACATGAAGAAAAGATTATTCCAAAAGAGAACAAAACATACTTGTGTAAATGTTTGTCTCTCTACCTTTAATAATCAGCAAATTCATGAACCAAACACCTAAACACAGAACTACAAAAATAAACATAATCAAACCAAAATCCTAGAAGACATTGTTGGGTGTGTTTCGAAAAAACAAAGAAAATTAATTAATAAAAATTAATTAAATAAAATGACTTAAAGAAAAACGAGAAATGAGATGAAGTAGAAAAAGCCAAAGCTCGTGCTACGCACGATTTCCTTAAAACGTATTCGTTGCCTCCCGGGGTGCTAGGAGCGTTGCAACGATCGTTCCCATGATACGATGACTACGAGGTATTCGTTGAGCAAATGAGCACTCAACCGAATAGTTCCAGCAAACGAGAACAATAGTATGAAGATGGAGGAATGTTTTCATAAGCTAGAGGTGTTTTTCCAGTGTATAAACGCGCATGCAGTGTATGAATTCGTGTATGTTGCAATTTATAGGGGTGGATTTTGGTGTGTTAATGGGGTGTGTAAGGCTTGTGAACGTTGGACATCAATGTCCTAAACGTTGGGCATTGATTCCAGCCAAAAACAGTCCAAAACGTGTGCATTAAGGCCATGAACGTTGGGCATTTATGCTGCAACGTTCCAGTTCAGCATGGAGCAAAAAATAAAATAGGAACGTACCAGAAGAACAAAAATTAACATTATCTTTAGAAGATAGATTTTCGGACGGCATTCGTGTACGCAGGTCGCCAGCGCACGCAAGTCGCGCTTTTTGTTCTCCGGTTTCATATTTGATTCGCGCGCCCCCCCGCGCAAGAGAGAGAGCCTTTACCCATAGGAATCTTAACTCCTTAAGGGGCTTTCCCTTTATAAAGGGCTCAAATTCCCTTGTGATTTTTGGTGTGGGAAAAAACCACACTAGAAACCCACTTTTTCCCAAGTTTTCTCCATTTCAACGAGTGAACTTCGAGAATTAATTTCGATCTCATTTACCCGTTACCCGTTTTGAGCGTACCTGTAACACCCCCATTTTTCCCACCAAAATAAAATAACATTTTGAAATGAAAACATCTTTATTATAAAACATATTTAGAGTACAGCGGAAGTCTTTGATGGAAAAACAGGTGTGTCGAATGGACCCACCATATATGAAAACATATATGTTGCGATGTGTTGTACCCTAATTACAACACCCAGGACAAGCATTCCAAATGGACCCACCAACTCTTTTCTCTCACTCTAATTTGTTTTTTTTTATATTTAAATTACAGATGAGTTTGGAAGCCTCAAATTTTACCACTTATTCATTCACATCAGTCACTAACCAATTTTAAAAAAAAATGACCGCAATAATTTATAATCATCCCTAACAAATTTTAGATAATTTTTTTTTCATAACTATTTGTAATGTGAATAGTTATAAACACATACCGCAAATTTGACCAATCTTTATTCTGACTCATATATGAAAATCAGGTCAGCATATATTTGCGAGTGGATCGAATGCCTGTGCACACAAAACATCGGTCAAATCAATCAGGCGCAATCCTTCCGGGCCAACTCCCAAGGGGTTGCCCCGAAGGATCCCAAGGACGAAATCATCGAGGCCCTCCTCCGTCAACTTGAGGAGAATCGTCAGGCACCCCCGACAGCTTCAACAGCGAGGCCAGATCCGGAGTACGCTGACCTCCGGGCGCAAGTGGAGGAAATGAAGCGTAAACTTGCCGAAGGCTCAGGCGAGCCCCTCATTCAGCTCCGCACTAGGACGCCTTTCACCCCAAGGGTGCTGGCGGCCAAAATCCCCCACAAATATCGGGGGCAACCTATCAAGCCATACGAGGGGAAGACGGATCCCCAAGAACTCTATAGCCGTTATCAAAATAGCATGATGATGATGGGGGCCTCGGATGAATACTTATGCCGGAAGAACCTTGGGAGTTGGCCCGGAAGGATTGCGCCTGATTGATTGGCCCGGAATAAAGATTACACTATAGTCAGAATATTCGATCCATGTCAAACATATAATTTCCAATTCATAAATAGTTCACATAGTGCAAATATTGCATACATATAAGTACGAGGCAAAACATTTTGGTTGACATAGAACTTACCTTAAATTGCGATAATCTGCTTAACAAAATCTCTAGCTTGATCTTCACTTGAATTCTCCTTCTAATATTGATCAAAATTCTAAATCAATAACTATTCTATTATTTCGTTATTTCTTTTATATCCAACCTTTAATTACTTTAACTTCATAATTCCTTCTTTAAATATAAATATTAAATTAATAAATCTTACTAACTGTTTATTTCCAGTTCATTCTTATTATTTTCTTTAATTATAATAACCCAACTCGGTTTTTCTTAATTTGTTTGGTTAAATAGTTTACTAGTCCAATTATATTAACTACATAATAATTTCATTATTTCGAATTTAAATAATCAATTTCAGTTCAGAATTCAGTTTACATAATTTATATAATTTATTTAATAACCCTTTTAATACTAACTTGACTTAGGCAATAATTCGAAATAATAATCATTAATGATAATCTAATCTCAATAACAACTTTAATTAGTTCAATAGTTTATTTATACTAACTAACCCAATTAAATTAATTTATCCAATCCTCCAGTTTTATTTATTTGACTCACTAATTTAATTGAACTAACTAAATCAAATAAATAAGTTTAATTATATCAATATAGCTAAATACGTTAATCTAATTCAATTAAGTCCAATAATCAAATTCTAATCTCGTTTTAATTTTCTATTTTTAATATAAAGTCCAGAAATGTTATCAAGTCTATAAATTAACTAATTTATCCATTAAACTAATTGATTTAGTTAAACTAGTCCAATGAAGTCAATTAACTAACTTATTAAGTACACATTACTTAATTAATTTGTTTATATTCATCAACTAATTTTTATGAGTTCAAATAGTTTAATAATTTATATGGAGTCCAAATCACTAATAATCAAGGATAATAATTATTAATTTAAGCACGCTAATTTAATTAGTCAACTAATTCAATAATTTATTTATTAAGTCCAAATATAGTCATTCATTTATACTAGATAACCCAACTTTATTTTCTTTTCCTTATTTTATTACAAACATCATTTTTAGTCCAGAACATTATTTTCAATTTTAGTGATTTATTTATTTCACCATTAATATCAAAATTTCCTTATTTAATTACTTAACTAGTTTATATGGCTCAATTAAATTAAATAACTTAATCATCACTTTTATAAATTACTAATCATCCATAACTATAGTTTGGGTCTATACTTGACCTAGGTTGTCCAGATATTTATTTTAGAATTATTTCCTTTATTTATTCACTTAATTTCATATATCTATTAACCGGTTTAATTACAATTAAATATGCTAATTATAATTTTTATTAATTATAAATGGTCCCAAACGTCCTAGTTAGTCATATATTTAATCTAGCTTGCTCCCATATTTATTTCATAATTATTTTCGTCATTTAGTTAATTATTTACTAAATGTGTACAACTTGGCCCAATTACAATTAAATCAATTAAAAATAGCTACAAATATTATTTTTCAATTATTCTTGGTCCGAATATGTATTTTTATACCAGGTATTTAATTTATATTTTTCCATATTTTATTTATTTCATTTACTATTTTATTTTTAATTTTTTATTGAAAACGGGCCGAACCAGCCCAAATTCGCGACCCGGCCCTAGAAGACTGGGTTGTCTCCTTCCCAGCTCTTCTCCAGGTCGCGATTCCGGCGACCGGAATCCCGAAAACTCCGTCGAGCGATAACTTTACTTACAGGTAACGGATTTCGACGATTCAAATTGCAAAATGATCCTTACGTCGAGATGAAGCTACTCCACCCCTATCTACGGCCAATTGTCCGCTTTTGCTGAAGACCCATTTCCATGGCTTGCAACTCCGGCGACCTCTAGGATGCTCCGGTGACTACGAATCGGTCTGGAATTTATTGGGAAGTATTCCTAGACCTCTCACGACCCTCCTCTATCGTTTTTACGAAGTTTGATACGTAAAATATTATAGGCATAAATTTTCCGGCGAGATTATGTATATATATGTATATGTATATATAGCTTCTATCTCTCCGATTTGCAGTGTTTAGGATGGCTAAGAGGGTGTATTTATAGGTCTAGATGGTCCTTATGGTTTATTTTATTTATTTGATAATTGTATGAATAATAATAATAATAATAATAATAATAATAATAATAATGTCTATACATAATGATAGGTTGGTAGTTGATGAACATGGCATGTGTATTGATCCCTGATTTGATTCCCATTTATATTGATGTTTCATTTTATTTTATTTTATTATTATTATTTTTAATTACTTAAATGTATTTTGAGTTTTACATATAAATATATATATTTAAATATATGTACATAATGTATATACATTATTTGGTAGGCGATCTTAGCATGGGTCATTGTTTTATGATATGATATTTTCATTTATTAATTTGATGCTATTATTAGTAATTTATAATATTCTTACTATTTTTATTTATTTATTTATTTATTTATTTATTTATTTATTTATTTATTTATTTATTTATTTATTTATTTATTTATTTATTTATTTATTTATTTATTTATTTATTTATTTATTTATTTATTTATTTATTTATTTATTTATTTATTTATTTATTTATTTATTTATTTATTTATTTATTTATTTATTTATTTATTTATTTATTTATTTATTTATTTATTTATTTATTTATTTATTTATTTATTTATTTATTTATTTATTTATTTATTTATTTATTTATTTATTTATTTATTTATTTATTTATTTATTTATTTATTTATTTATTTATTTATTTATTTATTTATTTATTTATTTATTTATTTATTTATTCTGTCACCTATATTTTATCTGATTTACTTAATTATTAAACTGTCAATTTCGTAACATTTTATCTGACTAATAAAATTATTTATTTCATTTTAATTTTTCGGGGTATCACAGTACCATATATCAAATTGTAGCCCTAAGCAAGGACATTCTGAAACCACTTTGACCCGACCCAAATCAGAAGTGGACCCCACTCAAAAATTGCCCCAAAATGACCATTTAATGCAATTTTAACACATTTTTTTCAACAGACATAAACAATTTGACATCAAAGAATATCATGCTACGTATGGAAATCAATGCACGAGAGCAATAAAAGCATAAATTATTTTTTACTCAGGAATTGAAATTCAATCAAATGGACAAATACACAACAATCAATTCACTCATAAGTTCCTATGAGATATTAGCTTGTAATGAATGATTTAATAATATAGCAAAAAACCTATAAGGCTATAAGGTCCTGGATATTTTGACCTGGATCTTCTTGTTGGAATTTATTGAGAAATAAAGCTCAAGTTTTAATTTGCATGGTCCTTAAGCATTTTTAAGTGTTGTGTACATTTTAATGGTGTTAAGGAATTTTACATATATAAAGAATTTTATTATTTTATAATTATTATTATAATTATGTGCACCAAATTATGTACACGTGCATTGCAGTTTCGTATGCAAGTGTATATGTATTATATATATACTCCGTATTACATAAATGGATATCCTTTGTTTGAGTGAATGGAATTTTAAAGTGCTTTATAAGTGGACGTGTTCTTTTGAACAGCCACTTTAGTTTCTTTTGGAAGAATGCTACTTGGCCGTTTACCAAAGTACATCTCAACTGATTTCAGAAAACTGTCATTTTAGGACGGGTTGCCTATCACTTATAAATAGCAAAAGGACTATGTCGAATGGTTGAAAAAAAAATTGATGATCGATCAGCCAATTTGATCGTGTACTTGCCTCTACTTTATTTTATTAACTGCAGTAATAAAATAGAAGTATTTAGACTATTTTATATACAAATCACTTGTTCGGTGTTATTTTATCGGTAACTAAAATACACCATACACTTTTTTTTTATCCCAAAAGTTCTATCTTGTAACCCGGTTACTGTGATAAGAGTAGATAGTAAACTTTTAGGAAAGCGTATTTAATACGTGACTAGAAGTGATATCCGGTCTAGCCATATTTTTACACCCTTATAATTTACTATATTTATCCTCCGGTTCTAACAATCTAAAAGTTTAATATTCCGAAATTATGGCCGCTACTCAACGTGATATCAACACCAATTTTCAAAAATTGGAAAAGTTCGAAGGTGTGGAATTTCGAAGGTGGCAGAAAAAGATGCATTTTCTGCTCACTACTTTGAAGGTCGTCTATGTGTTAAGCACCCCGAGGCCGCCCGAGGATGATGAAAACGAGACTTGACGCCGTATAAAGTGGGACAACGACGACTACATTTGTCGTGGGCACATTTTGAATGGTATGTGCGATTCTCTTTTTGATGTGTATCAAAATGTTGAATTTGCTTTGCTAAAACGTTGTGGGAATTGCTAGAGTCTAAGTACATGACCGAGGATGCTTCTAGTAAGAAATTTCTCATTAGTAACTTTAATAGTTACAAAATGGTGGACTCTCGTCCGGTCATGGAGCAATTTCATGAGATTCAACGTTTATACGATCAACTTTTGATACACAACATGCATGTCAATGAAACCTTTGTTGTCGGTTCTATAATCGACAAATTACCCCCTTCATGGAAGGAAGTGAAAAATAGCCTCAAACGCAAAAAGGAGGATTTGTCAATGGAGCAACTTGGTCGCCGACTTCAAATTGAAGAAGGCATTAAGTTGCGTGAAGGTGACAATGGTAAAAAGAGAGACCTTCCAATTTCCTGTATAAATGTTATGGAGGAGGGACAGTCAAGTGGGACTAAGAAATATAAAAAATGTCCCGGGAAATTCACCAAAGGTTCCAAGTTCCAAAAGAAGCCGAAAGATAAGAAAGTAGGCTCTTGCTGGGAATGTGGTGGTCCACACTTCAAGAGGGACTGCCCGAAGGTGAAGAAGAAAAAGGCCCAATTGAATGGCCATCCTAACTGTAACACCCCGGCCCCGTAGGACCCGAGGTTGTTACTCCAGACCTCTACGGACCTCTAGTACTGTCCTCACAAACCGCCACTAGCCTTTTACGCGCACTTTGTCCTCACTCGTGCGCGCCCTGAGAACTTCCCAGGGGGTCACCCATCCCAAAACTACTCCCGAGCAAGCACGCTTAACTTTGGAGTTCTTAGCGGATGAGCTCCCTTAAAAGGAGATGCATCTTTGTTGGTATGAGTAGTGCTATTAATCCATTTATATTAAATCTCAAGTGTTACAATCACCCCCACTTAGGATCGCAACGTCCTCGTTGCGCCCTTGAACCAACCTCAAATCTCAATCAAATCCCAGAATCTTCCCCCGCTAAGTGCCCGCCCGATATCCAACGGGTCATCACACTGTCGCGGGGTTGCTCTGATACCACCTGTAACACCCCGGCCCCGTAGGACCCGAGGTTGTTACTCCAGACCTCTACGGACCTCTAGTACTGTCCTCACAAACCGCCACTAGCCTTTTACGCGCACTTTGTCCTCACTCGTGCGCGCCCTGAGAACTTCCCAGGGGGTCACCCATCCCAAGACTACTCCCGAGCAAGCACGCTTAACTTTGGAGTTCTTAGCGGATGAGCTCCCTTAAAAGGAGATGCATCTTTGTTGGTATGAGTAGTACTATTAATCCATTTATATTAAATCTCAAGTGTTACACTAACGGTGGCCAAGACAACCAAGGTCAGAATCTTTTTGTAGTTACAAATGATGTTGATAACAACATGATTTTTGTAGCTATGCTTTCTGAAATTTGTGTTGTGCAGGATGATGAATCTTGGTGGATTGACACCGGAGCCACAAGACATGTATGTAAAGATAGTCAGACTTTTAAGACTCTAAAAGAGTTGAAAGAAGTGTCGATCTTATACATGGGAAATGATTCTACTGTGCAAATTCAAGGAATTGGCCAAGTAGAGTTGGAATTAACTTACGGAAAGAAATTAATTCTTAATGATGTGTACTTTGTACCACAAATCCGGAAAAATCTTGTCTCCGGTGGCATCCTAAATAACTTTGGGTTTAAACTTAACTTTGAAGCAAATAAGTTTATTTTATCTAAGGGTGGTGTATTTGTAGGCCAAGGTTTCTATTGTAATGGCATGTTCAAACTAAGTGTTGTAAATAAAGTTGTTAATTCCGTTTATATGGTTTGTGATTCTTCTTTGTGGCACAAAAGGTTATGTCATGTTAATTATCGTAGATTAAGTGACATGTCTAAAGTAGGATTAATTCCTCCTTTTAATGTTAACATAGAAAAATGTAGAACTTGCATGTTAAACAAAATCACTAGAAACTCTTTTCAAAATGTTGAAAGAAAATCCAACATGCTTGAATTAGTGCATAGTGATTTGTGTTATTTCCATAGCACTCCGTCTTTTGGAAATAAAAAATATGTAGTCACATTTATTGATGATTGCACAAGATATTGTTATATATATCTTTTATTTTCAAAAGATGAAGCAATGGATAAATTTAAAGTTTTCAAAACGGAAGTCGAGTTACAAACCGGAAAGAAAATAAAAAGGCTTAGAACGGACAAAGGAGGAGAATATTATGAGCCTATTTTTTTGAATCCGTTGGAATAATCCATGAAACAACACCCCTTACACGCCGCAACAAAACGGCATTGCTGAAAGAAAGAATAGAACTTTGAAAGAAATGGTTAATTCCATGTTGTCTAATTCTGGCTTAAGTAATGGATTTTGGGGTGATGCTATGTTAACTGCTTGTTATATTCTTAATAGAGTGCCTAACAAGAAAAATAAGATTACCCCATATGAACTTTGGCACAAAAGAACACCCCAACTAAGTTATCTTAGGGTATGGGGTTGTAGGGCAATCGTGAGATTACCGGAGCCTAAACGAAAAACGTTAGGTGAAAAGGGAGTAGAGTGCATATTTATTGGATATGCCGAACATAGTAAATCTTATCGATTCTATGTTATTGAACCGAATGACTCAATTGCGGTTCACACTGTTATTGAGTCTAGGGATGCTCTCTTTGATGAGAAGCGGTTCACTTCTATTCCTAGGCCAAAGGATGTTGATCCCGGTCCAAGTAATTCACGCTTACATGAACTGGAAAAGAATCATGAAAATGAGCCTGAAATAAGACGAAGTAAGAGGGTTAGAAAAGAAAAGTCATTTGGTCATGATTTCCAATTATATTTGGTTGAGGGATCAAGAGAGACCCTTGAAACTCAAACACTATAGGGAAAATGGAAACTAATAATCCAACCTTTTAGCGGTCTTCTTACAATAGTCCCACCTTTTGATTATTCATGAATAATCCAACCTTTGCACCTCATCTTCATTCACTGGTCCCTGACCGGTTGATGACCTGCTATTCCAAGTTATTTTCTTATCTTTGCAAAATATTATCTTTGTGAAATGTGAGATTTATGGTATAATGGTTTGCAAAGATAAGAAAATAACTTGGAATGGTAGGTCATCAACCGGTCAGGGACCGGTGAATGAATATGAGATGCAAAGGTTGGATTATTCATGAATAATCAAAAGGTGGGACTATTGTAAGAAGACCGCTAAAAGGTTGGATTATTAGTTTCCATTTTCCCAACACTATATTGTTATAATGTTGAGGAGGATCCTAACTCTTTTGAAGAGGCAATGAAATCTCAAGATGCTTCCTTCTGGAAAGAGGCCGTAAATGATGAAATGGATTCAATCATGGGCAATAATACTTGGGTTCTAAGTGATTTACCACCTGGTTGCACACCAATCGGTAGTAAATGGATTTTCAAGAAGAAAATGAAAGTAGACGGTACCATTGACAAGTTTAAAGCTAGATTGGTTGCACAAGGCTTTAAACAAAAACATGGTATTGATTACTTTGACATATATGCACCGGTAGCTAGAATAACTACCATAAGATTGTTAATTGCTTTATCGGCTATTCACAATCTTGTCATTCACCAAATGGATGTCAAAACAGCATTCTTGAATGGTGAATTGGAGGAGGAGGTGTATATGAAACATCCCGAAGGGTTTGTTGTTAAAGGACAAGAAAAGAAAGTTTGTAAACTTGTCAAGTCCTTGTATGGTCTGAAACATGCACCTAAACAATGGCATCAAAGGTTTGATGAGGTGGTGCTGGAAAATGATTTTAAAATAAACCAATCAGACAAGTGTGTGTGTATAGCAAATTTAATGAGCACGGTAACAGTGTTATTATTTGTCTATATGTGGATGACATGCTCATATTTGGCACTGATTTGAGGCAAGTGAAAGAAACAAAAGCTTTCCTCTGTTCAAACTTCTCCATGAAAGATATGGGTGAAGCGGAAGTTATCCTTGGAATTAGGATAATTAAGCAAGGTGATACTATCACCTTAACACAATCTCACTATATAGAGAAAGTGTTGAAAAGATTTGGGAGTTTGGATTGTTCACCGGTTTCCACTCCCATGGATCCTAGTTGGGAATTAATTCCAAATAGTGGGAACGCTGTATCACAGCTTGAATATGCTAAGGTGATTGGGTGTTTGATGTATGCTATGACTAGCACCCGGCCAGATATTGCATTTGCGGTAGGAAAGCTAAGTAGATATACTAGTAATCTTAGTATATTTCATTGGCAAGCCTTGAAGCGAGTGCTGAAATATCTAAAGAAAACAATAAGTTACGGCTTATGTTACAAGAGTGAACCTTCTATATTAGAAGGTTATACAGATGCAAGTTGGATAACTAATTAATCAAGAGGATTATTCATCCACAAGTGGATGACTATTTCTTCTTGGAGGAGGTGCTATATCATGGGCATCTAAGAAACAAACTTGCATCACGGACTCTACCATGGCTTCAGAGTTTATAGCTTTAGCATCAACTTGTAAAGAAGCGGAATGGCTAAAGGACTTGGTGTCGGAAATTCCGATATGGCCTAAACCAATGGCTCCGATACCAATCAATTGTGATAGTGCATCAACTCTGTCAAAAGCTTATAACCATGTGTACAATGGTAAGTCAAGGCACATAGGAGTAAGACACAACTATGTGCGGGAACTTATAAGTTCTGGAGTTGTTGTGATTGATTTTGTACGATCACATGTGAATTTGGCGGATCCTTTTACAAAGGCGATGCCAAGGGACATGGTGTACAAAACGGAAAAAGGGATGGGGTTAAAGCCCTTAGAAAATAATCACAAGTGAAAGAAAGCGCAACTCAACGTCTAGTATACAACGCTAGATCTTGAGTTCAATGATGATGAGTAAGACACTATGTGATTGAAGCACTTTTGAATAATAACCATCCCGAGGTAAGTGCTTGAGACTGCAATGTGTAATGAGGTTGACTATGTCTTAATAGATCTTTTGATAAAGTGTTTGATTGCAGAACACGATTTGAAAAGACCTACCTATGTGAGCTAGAATGACGACCGATTCACCAAGTTTATGGCTTTACTTGTTGGAGCTCATGAATGGATATGGACACAAGACCGTTAATAGTGTCAAGTTTCTAAGTGATATTGTATTGAGATTTATGTGTGTAATATCTTCAATATTTCAAAGTGGTTATATAGTTCAAAGCTTAGTTTACTATTATGATCCAAAATATTGTAAAGAATATTGCACTAACTGAAAGTTCAATCTTTATGACACTTTCAGTTATGCATAAATCTTGATAAGTGGTCTATTTGGCAAGAATTGAGTGTGATTTATTTTTCAATAAATGGAGGAGGATTGTTGGAATTTATTGAGAAATAAAGCTCAAGTTTTAATTTGCATGGTCCTTAAGCATTTTTAAGTGTTGTGTACATTTTAATGGTGTTAAGGAATTTTACATATATAAAGAATTTTATTATTTTATAATTATTATTATAATTATGTGCACCAAATTATGTACACGTGCATTGCAGTTTCGTATGCAAGTGTATATGTATTTTATATATACTCCGTATTAAATAAATGGATATCCTTTGTTTGAGTGAATGGAATTTTAAATTGCTTTATAAGTGGACGTGTTCTTTTGAACAGCCACTTTAGTTTCTTTTGGAAGAAGGCTACTTGGCCGTTTACCAAAGTACATCTCAACTGATTTCAGAAAACTGTCATTTTACGACGGGTTGCCTATCACTTATAAATAGCAAAAGGACTATGTCGAATGGTTGAAAAAAAAATTGATGATCGATCAGCCAATTTGATCGTGTACTTGCCTCTACTTTATTTTATTAACTGCAGTAATAAAATAGAAGTATTTAGACTATTTTATATACAAATCACTTGTCCGGTGTTATTTTATCGGTAACTAAAATACACCATACACTTTCTTTTTATCCCAAAAGTTCTATCTTGTAACCCGGTTACTGTGATAAGGGTAGATAGTAAACTTTTAGGAAAGCGTATTTAATACGTGACTAGAAGTGATATCCGGTCTAGCCATATTTCTACACCCTTATAATTTACTATTTTTATTCTCCTGTTCTAACACTTCTTGGCACTGAACTCGTCGTGTCGTCCATCATATATTCTAGCATCGTCCATCATTTTTTCATTATTTGGCCAAGAAGTGGCAATAATTCTTTGTACCCTTTTCCTCTTCTCTGCAGCAGCAACAACTAATGTAACTTCCTTTGGATAGTTTCAAAAGAAACTATAACATGAGTTTTAAGCAACTAGAAGTAGAAAATGGCTTCTTTGGCGTCTTCCATACCCATTTAAAAATGCCTTAGATAATGCTGCTAGCCAACCTGATTAGGTTTTTTTTGAGTTCCTCTCAATAGATTTTTACTTCAAACTTGTGCCACCAACACTTAATACTTTGGACCTTCACAAAGAATGTCTATTAGCCGATCTAGTATAAACAGTATGTCTTTTTCTTGAGAGAAGCAGCTTGCGACTAAAATAGAAAACATATACTAATTTCAATACTCTACCAGGATGGAAATAGAACAAAACCAAACATAAAATATTGACATATCTCCAACCTGATTGTAGACATAGTACCAAAATTCAGAACAGAGGCTAAACCATGAGTGAAACTCCTCAAATTTGTATACCTTTTCCACAATGTCCCATACTAATGAGAACTTGGAACATTTATATGCATCTGGGAACCTGCACATAAGATTCCACCTCAATGAGTTCTTATGTAGTAAGAAACAAGTTACCTAAGGAGCCAAATTATAATTTAGAAAAGAAAATATGTTTACACATGAACAGTGCCCGAAAAGCAAAATAAAATACAGAATCCTCAATTTCAGTAGAAAATTAACAAGGTGATGGTGATATGGTATAAATTAAGTACATTCAAGTAAAAAATCGAAGAAACGCAGAGATGACGGCTCAATACCTTCTGTTTCTCGCGTTGGCCGGTGTACCTAAACCCACGGTCGTCGCCGATTATTCTCTCTGGTTCAGTGAGGGAGAGGAAAGCAAGCTTCGATGAAGTCTCTTGTTCGTGTATCTTAAAACGCAGGCGCTAGGGTTTTTACGTACGCTCGTCTGAGTCGCAGGTTGAGAAGCGTATGATTTTCTGAGTCCCAGGTTGAACATATGTTATGTGTGTATGGACTTAGCTTGGACCAAGAGAATAAAAATGTGTAGGGAGTTATGTGCATATGGGCTTGTATAGAAAAAGTGGAGGGGAAAAATGTGTAGAGAGTTATGTGCATATGGGCTTAAAAATTTCGCATCTTGATAGTTGATATCATAGTGTCATGAGTTATTGACACTTTTATGCTAAATTTTTGTTAGTGACACTAATAATAAAAAAGTGTCAGTATAAAAGTGTCACTATGAGCTAGTTTTCTAGTAGTGCACACGGAGGGAGTACTTCGTAGCTTTTTAATAGAATTTTACTTTTGAAAATTATATCTAAGCGCTTCTTTCTTATTATGAACCACGAATTATTTGTAATAAAAGAAAAATGAAGTTTAATTTACGGTGAAAAAAAGTACGAAGATGGCTTTGGGACGGAGGTAGGACGTAGTTATTTATGTTCCAAAAGCAACAAAGAGATAATGGTAAAGTAGAATATGTGAAAACGTGAAAATTTAAAGGTAATGATGTATATCGAAAAGTAAGAATGAAAGTCTATGCAAAACTTATCAAATTAGAAAGTGGAACATATAAGAAAAATCTAAACATTAATCCTGAACGATTAAATACAAGCAAAGACATAAAATTTATATCTACTATCAAAAAATTATTTTTATCCTTTAACTTGTAAAGTGATGGCATGCTGGCCTTTTTCAGGGAGTAATTGGGAAAATGCAATATGTCGTTAGTAGTCAGACCCCATTGCAAATTTGAAAATAAAGTTACACTTGTTAGGTCATGAGGTAAACAATTGAACATTACTCATTTGTTAACAACCAAAGCTCAATGACTCATAGAATGTATCAAATCAAGGCTACCAATAAAATCTATTCACCCCTTAAGATGTACTACGTAAAATTTCTCTCCTTTTGGAGTATGTATATCATGACCAATAAAAATATATGCATCTCTGACCTTTTTTAAATGTTAAACTTTGGAGGCGTGTGTGAAGTATTGGTTCTCTATCTAGGGTTTCAGCCGCTGGAGCTGTTTTTTCCGTTTTCGACATTAGTCGGAGTACGACCATCGTTTTTGTTTCTCTCGTGGTACACTGGTGCTCGTAGGGTGCGAGACCAGAGCGCGGAGAAGAGGTGCTTGTGGGGCGACGCGGCTTGGTTGCTTCATTTAGTGCTTCCTTTGCCTTGTTGCTGTTATGTGCTCCTAGCTTCTACAGCGGAAGAAGCTGTCTGATTGGGTTTTGGATTGTTTTGTTGGCTCGGCTCAATTGGGCGCTGGTTGTTTGATTGTTACCAACATTAGGAGACCAAAGTACGAAGATCTACGTGCAGGTTTTGTTTTGCTTTCTTTAATTTGCAGGTTGTGGTCAGTCATGGCTTACTTGTCCATCGCTTCACGATTCAATGAGATGAGGATTGGCATTTGGCAACGTGAAGGTATGACAGAGAGTTTGATCAACAAGTAGACGGATGAGGAAGAAGATGCAGTATTGTTGGCCCCGACTTCCTCCTGAACCACCGCCATGGCAAGTAGCGGGTTCAGGATATTGTCTCGACCTGTGCTTTGGAAGATGCATCAGAGATGTTATTTTATCGTTATTTTTATTTCTTTAAGACTGAGTACTCGGTTTTCTGTCATTTTGTTTTTTACCTGCATTGTAAGACTTTGAGCTTGGGTTTGGGTAACCGAGTACTCGATTTTCTATCAATATTAGTTATAGTAACATATATTTTCTTTAATCTTCTTCCTTGAATATTAATTAATTCCTATTCATATATCATATTAATATTTTGAACATTACTTAAAGGAT